GAGAGAGAGAGAGAGAGAGAGAGAGAGAGAGAGAGAGTTTAAGACTTTTCAAAGCAATAGTTACACGTAGGCTAGGCTCTGTTCGAGAGATACAGCTCGACACGGTAGATATTTTACCACTAACGTTTTCACTTTACCTGAAAGGCCAACAACACACAGAGATACCAGGGGGGAACCTGGTCTACACTGTATAGTATATCCGTTAGTTGCCCTGTTTCACCGCTAGAAGACGCCATGTTTAGTAGACCAACGATCCAGAGGAGGAATGAGGTTGCCCGCAGGTGAAAACACGACTGAGTGACTGCCGACTCTTCTCGTCTCACCTCGCCTCCTCCCCCTCCGCTCCCCCCCTCCTCCCTTCCACTTATGTAGTTTTTGGAGGGGTGACAGTCGAAAAAGGTAACCCCTACTCCCTCCCCCCCTCTCTTCTTCACCACCCCCCCCCTCTTTCTCCTTTCTTGTCAACATGACAGGGGTCTGTGTCAAGTAATTTTAGTACGAATTTTACGGCACTTGCTACACAATTAGGTTTCATCATAAGTGCCGAGGATTGGAGGTGTCACAGAGAGTAACACACAAAGAACGGAAGAGCAGACGTAAGGACGAAACATTTTAATGTTTGGATGGAATGAGGGAGCGATTTAAACCACAACAGGACACCCACCAACCACCTACTTCAGCCAGTTTGTATTTTTACAAACAGCTTCGCGGCATATTGTAACGCTGTGGGGCAAAAATAACAATAATAATAATAGTATATTATTATTATGATCTTTACTTTTGAAATAATGAGTTTAAACAGTTGTAATGTTGATCACTTTCTGACTTGGTTTGGTTTGATAGAGGCGTCACAGCACATGTAACACTTAAGGTCAACGTAGTGCTGAAGTTTAGATGAGAGTTACATTAAGAGAGTAGCAACCATTACAACTGAAAAGGAGGGTTGCAAAGAACGATTGAAGCAAACCATGCCAGAACGCCCACCTACCGCCTCCAGGAGGCATACAATAATGCATTCTCGAGGTTGTTTTTTTAGGGGTGTGTTTTTAAAAAAAAGGGGGGGGGGGGGGAGGAATAAACGTTTGATTTAGTCCAATACACGGCGGACTCGTAGTTTATATTATGAGAAACAAAACAATGCGCCATGTGAAGGAATTAACACCATTTTTTCAGAAAGCTCAACAGAATAATAGATTGTGGTCTGGGGAAACGAGAGAAAGGTCATACTGATCTAGATTGAACTGTAGGTAACAAATAAACAATTTTAGGTGTATCATCATCCGGTGCCTTGCCGACTGACGTGGGCGATCATGGACCTACACTTCCATCTATCTTGAGTTGCAGCTATGGTGTCTGTTGTTCTTGCTGCTCCCAGCCATGTTGTCAACTTGTCCAGTATCTTTTCCCTCTGTCTGCCTCTGCCTCTCTTTCCATTAAACTTGCCTGTTGTTACAATATTCTCTAATGCTTCTTTCCGCATTGTGTGTCCAACGAAATTAGCCTGTCGCGTTCGTGTATTCGTCATAAGCTGTCGTCTGCAATTTGCTTCCACCGAGACTTCTTCATTTAATTTTTTTTTTTAGCTGTCCAAGGTTAACGCAGCATGCGTCTTATGAATTACAACTCCGACGCCTCAATCGTTCTTTCCAGCTGTCTATTGATTGTCCATGCTTTGCAACCGTATAAAAGGACTGGCTCGATGTAACTTTTCAGTAATCTTTTTTTTTTCATTTGGTTTCCAGTAACAGATTGATGTTTGTGAGTTTCTGTTTCGTTTAGTAGAAGGCTGTTTTTGCTTGCCAAATGCGGCTTTTAATTTCGGTGAGACATTTCCATCTAATGATATAATGGTATCCAAATATTTAAAATGTTGTATTTGCTTGAGGATGGTATCATTGATTTTGAAATTGCAGGAATTTCAGATTGCGTACCGAATTAAGTAAATAAAGCTGTCTCATTATAATCAGCACTCTTCCCTTCAAAATCTAGCATGCTCTCCCAATGATCAGATAAAATGAGATAAGATAAGAAAAGATAAGACACGACGAGATAAGATAAGAAAAGACAAGATTAGACTGATCTTCACAGAGATAACTTGGCTGCGCTGTGGCATTTTAAATACATGCACACACACGTGCTCGTCGACACACACACACACACACACACACTCACACACACACACACACACACACACACACACACATACACACACTCACACACACACTCTCTCTCTCTCTGTGTCTCTAACACACACAAACACACACACACACACACACACACACACACACACACACACACACACACATTTACATTTACACACATGGGCGCCCACAGAGGAACAGTCGTTGAATGGAAAGACAGAATAACGTTATTCTCGCACACCTGCCAACCATTACATAACCTGTCGTCACCCTAGAATTACAACCTTCTATCAGCTCAGTAAGCCTACCTAGTTTTGAGAGATTTGACGGGAACGATGGTGTACGTAAATATACAAATCATCATCATCATCTGGTGCCTTGCCGACTGGCGTGGGCGACCATGGACCTCCACTTCACCCTGTCCTTCGCTGCAGCAATGGTGTCTGTTGTTCTTGCTGCTCCCAACCATGTTGTCATCTTGTCCAGTATCTTTTCCCTCTGTCTGCCTCTGCCTCTCTTTCCACCAAACTTTCCTGTTGTGACACTATTCTCTAATGCTTCTTTCCGCATTGTGTGTCCGAAGAAATTTGCCTGTCGTTTTCTTATATTCGTGATAATTTGTTTTCTATAATTTGCTTCAACCAGGCCTTCTTCGTTTGTTTTTCTAGCTGTCCATAGGATACGTAGCATGCGTCTTATGAACCACAACTCCGTCGCTACAATTGTTCTTTCCAGCTGTTTATTGATTGTCCACGCTTCGCACCCGTATAATAGGATTGGCTCGATGTAACTTTTCAGTACTCTTTTCCTCGTTTCCAGTGACAGATTGATGTTTGTTAGTATCTGTTTCATCTTGTGGAAGGTTGTTTTTGCTTGGCAAATGCGGCTTTTAATTTCGGTGTGACATCTACCATCTGATGATATAATGGTCCCCAAATATTTAAAATGTTGTACTTGCTTGAGGGTGGTATCGTTGACTTTGATATTGCATGTTGGGATTGGAGTTTTTCTGCTTATCACCATCGTTTCGGTTTTCTTGATGTTTAGGCTTAAGCCCATGTTGTCACTCTCTTGTACGAAAATATACAAACTCTTTATTCAAAAAATCACCTGGTTGATACACAGTATCACAAATATAAACAATCTACACACAGTTCCTGGTCGCCAATGTAAAGCAGCTCTTTAAATTTGAGCAAGGGTTTTTATGCGTTGCTCAAAGACACACCCAGAGACCACCCGCCTAAACACCGTGTCACCGACACACAGTTGGCATAATTGGTCTCTTTTAAGGACACGCAAGCTAACCCAGGTTTTGGGTGTTCCAGAAATCTTGACCTACACCAAAGGTGTGCATTACCCTACCTATAGGAGAAGTTTGTTTTCATTGGTGTTTATATTTATTGTTTGGTTATAGAGAAAAACCGTCTCCGTCTTTTAAAGAAACTGAAAAAGGGGCAAAAAAATTTACCCTCGAGTTTCTCAAAACAGAATTTTTCGGGATAGCCCCCTTGAGCTTAAAAGCTACCAATTATGAGCTGAATTGAACTGACCCCTCAGCCACTGGAACCATTTTCAACTGCGGCTGGGATTGTTTATGTGTCTTTCTGAACCTATCATAAATAATGTTCGCGTACAATTTTAAAACGTGGAATTGAAATGCAAAAGCTAAATTCTGGGGTAGGCCTATCCTATTAAGGTATATAGCAATTGAAACCTACAATTTAATATATTTGTTACGCTAAAAATCGTAAAAATATGACTCTGTAATGTTTCTTAGAATATTGAATGCCACATTAAAAAACAAATTTGTTGTCTAAAAGGTATATGGTTTCCTTTAAAAAATGACTCAAATGTCAGCGCCACTAGGATTATATATCTAGATTATTGTCCCATATCTGCTTCGTGTGTCATTAACCGTGTCATTGTGCTATGTCAAGCCTTTGTTCACGTCTGGGGCATAGCACTGGGGAGTATATCGTCTGTGTCGCAAGCAATCCACGCTACTCTGTTTGGTTACTTTTTACTTCAGTAATACAACCCCCAACCTACAACAACGAACAAACAAACAAACAAACAAACAACAATAACAACAACAACAACAACAACAACAACAACAACAACAACAACAACAACAACAACAACAACAACAATAACAACAACAACAACAACAATAAAGAGCAGCAACAGCTAGTTCTTGTGGCGTTGTTCCTATCAGGAATCAAGAAAAGCAAGAATGTTGTCAGCCTTGACCATAAGATTAGCATTAAACTCCATTTTGGTGATGTTTGAAGGTGCATCTTTGATATAGAGCTTTGGGAGGGCGTAAAAATTGAAAAGTTATCAAAATTGGGACTTACGTGGATTGGCGTGCGACAGTGAGGATATATCACTTTCTATCTGAGGTAACGGAACGCCTAGACTAGAGTTATAATTTAAAAAGATAGCCTAGATCGTGAACTGTCATGACCGCCTCTCTTAGCGGTGTCATGCGCAAGAGACTCGAGATCGATTCCAGAATGGGGTGAAAATCTTTCGAGTATCTCGGTCATTCTCATGGGACGGTGTATCGCTCTCGTCCTAGGTCGGCTCTGACAGGCAAGGTCAGAAACCCACCTCAAGGTCAGAAACCCACCTCAAGGTCAGAAACCCACCTCAAGGTCAGAAACCCACCTCCTAAATGATCTAAATTGTGTCGATGGGGGCATAACAAGACCCACATAAAGATCCCCCCCCCCCAAAAAAAAAAAAAAAAAAAGTAAAAAAGTAAAAATCCAAAATTATTTGCTCTCTATTAAACCTTCAGTATGGAACGTTTATGAAAGAGGTGCTTGAATTTGAAGTTGAAGGAAAAATGTGGGGCAGGAGAGACAGGGGGAAGACAAAGAACAATAAGAACCTGGACTGGCCTGGATATTGGCTGAATGTGCAACGGAAGCTCGCGGCCAAGATGGATGGAGGGTCATTACACGCCAACCCCTGAGTCTGAGGTTATGACACCTCCGGGTATCCAGGTATGAAGCGTTAGCAACAAGGGCGCCTAAACAAAGGGCAAAATATCACTCTCGCTATCTCCGAGTGTTTGTTGCACCTTCCCCCCCATCCCCTGACCTTCATATGCTCCTAATTGAATCAAATGGCACACTTCACAATGAACCGGAA